AGAAACGAAGGTTTAAATTAATGTTTGGTGGTTCGTTCAGGTCATGTCTTACAAAGTGCATCTCACTCTGAAAACTCACTCTTTCTCTCTCTTCCTCTGCGCCTTGTATGAATGTGTGTGTGTGATTCTGTTTAGACCTTAGTTTTATGTGTTTAGAATAGTTAATAATGTCGTCAATATATTTGAAAAGATATTTGCCTTGTGTTGTGCTTGCACATTTAATGTCTTGTACTGTCGATCTAAAGTTACCTTGCTAATACATAGTGTTTCACTATAGATTGGATATTTATATCTGTTGCCAAGGTTATAATTACGGCCCGTTCAAATGAACTCTAAACGAGTCATTTGCTCGGTTCCATAGTGATTCGGTCAAGATTCATTGCAAATCGATGAATCATTCCTTTTGAGCTAAATTGGCCTTCCGGCCCCCCTTAAATACATTTTATGTATATTATTATTGTGTGATTCGTTACAACAGTGTATGGCCCTTGCCATTTCGCCAGTAGCTTGTGTGTTGAGGTTGGTAGTAAGAGTAACACCTTCTGACCTGGTTGGAACTGCCGTAGTCTTGCGTGCTGATCATACCACCGCTTTTGTGCCTGTTGTTTCGCCTGCAGGTTCTCTCTCGCGTTTTCCCGGTACCGCTCTAGACGGTCTCTCATTTCCAAAACATACTGCACAATACCTTTCTCCTTGGTTTTGGCTGCAGGACTCTCCTCCCAGCTTTTTCGCAGCAGGTCCAGCGGTCCTTGCACTTGCCAACCGTAGAGGAGCTCAAACGGAGAGAAACCTGTCGACGCTTGAGGAACTTCTCTGTAAGCAAAGAGGACAAAAGGTAGCCACCTGTCCCAATCTCGTCCCGTGTCTGCAACAAACTTCCGCAGCATATTTTTGAGGGTCTGGTTGAACCTTTTCACCAGGCCGTCTGTCTGTGGGTGGTATGGGCTTGTTCTGATAGCGGTAATGCCCAACTGTAGGTTCAGTTGCCCCATGAGCCGTGACGTAAAGTTCGTGCCTTGGTCTGTCAAGATCTCGTCTGGCAGAACCACCCTAATAGTAAAAACCCACCCACTCCTTTTTTTTAATCCCCATAAGCATAAATCATAAGCAGTGTTTCAGAACAAGACATTTGCAGATTCTAGCATGTGTGATGTCACATGTGCTTAGGCTCCGCCCATGCACGACTGCTGACGGACTCTGCCCTATTAGCATAGACCCGCCCCTCCGTGAGCTGTAGGCTACACAGTATTCAAGAAATGTTTTCTTATTAAAGCTACTAAAGTTATTAAAGTAGCAGTGAGTGGTTTTCTGTTTTTCTTTTGTTGTTTGATTTTTTTTTTATTCAGTTTCCATTGTGTAGCCTAACAAGCAAACTAAAACGAGACACATTTATTATTCACAATATGGCAAGAGGAAATAAATAAAACTAGTTCGTTAGGAGCATGACTCAAACATGCCATTAATGGGCTTATTCAAAGTGCTCTTTTATTTTTTGAGTTATTTTAATCCATTCCGCATCTCCCACACATGTGTGTTTTAGCAAGGCTAAAGTTGCAAGTTGGTGAATGAAGACACTTGCCAGGTTACATCATACCTGTCAACACTCCCGTTTTTCTCCCGTTTTTTTAGCCCCATCTCCCGGACCCCTCCCGGTTTGTTATTTCTCCCGGGAAACTCCCGTAATTTGCATGGCCCAAACTCCTTTATGAATAATCGGACCAATATGTTTGTCTAATGTTGACCAGTTGCCAGATCTTGTATTAAATGCATTATATTCACAAAATCCACACATCATATACAATTTCAACCCGTTTGTCATCTCAACCTGGCAACCTATAACCCAGTTGCGCAGTCGCGGAGAGATCACCAAATGTTGACAGCTATGGGTTACGTGTCACTGGTTTATATTCATTTATCCAGTGTAAAACCCGGACACAAATGTGGCTTTTTATTAATGACTGTCCTACTACAGGATTTAACACAGAGTTACAAAAGACACTGTAACAGTCTGTCACAGGCAATTCTGGTTGCATTTTTCATCAATTAATTTCTTAAATTATCGTTTGACTGTGCTCTGGTCCGCCCTCTACTGGCGACATTGGTTTTTGGCCCGATGCCAAACTTACTTGCCGACCCTGGTCCTAAACTATGAACCAGCCTACCAACACTAATGTTTTAAACTTTTAAGCTTGAGGAAGGGGCTTAAAAAGAAGGATGAATTCTTAAATAAATAGCTAGTTCTTCACTTTAGTAGTGCCGGAGATATGACAAAAAAATGAACATCCACTCACACCAGTTCAGGCCTCCATTCTGAAATCCGCTCAGTAACTCGCTTTACTGTCTATGGTAACTCCACACTGCAGGATAAACACCAGGTTTTAAACGCAGTAACTTCATCCAGCCACTAGAGGAGGCCATCTCACTGCTTCACAAACACTTATATTTTCATTAAAAAAAATCTATCTATATATATTTATAACAGTGTTATAAATATATATATATTTTAATATATGTGTGTTTGCGAAGCAGTGAGATGGCCTCCTCTCTCTCTCTCTCTCTCTCTCTCTCTCTCTCTATATATATATATATATATATATATATATATATATATATATATTAACACTACGTTGTAGCTATTACCTTTGCATCAAATAACAAGAAACTAGTTAAAGGGATAGTTCACCCCAAAATGAAAACTCTGTCAGTAATTACTCTCCCTCATGTTGTTCAACCCCGTAAGACTTTCGCTCATCTTTGGAACACAAATTAAGATATTTTTTATTAAATCTGAGAGCTGGATCACTCCTCCAGAGGCTTCTAAGGGATCGAAACCAGTCCATCAGCCGGAAGTTGAAGCCTCGCGGGAGCCGCCATTGTAGCAGGCCATCACCCGCTGTTAGCATCCCATTGACTCCCATTCATTTTGGCGTCACTTTGACAGCGAATAACTTTACATCTGAGGCGTCCAAAGACTTAATTTGTCCATTATTTATTTCTAAAGAAACACGACAATGTATAAAATGCTCCATTACTTTGTATCTTACGTTACGGGCCCGTAGAAGCCATTTTTTGTAAAAATAGGCTAAAGATTGCGTCATAACCACGGGACTTTCTGTCGCACAATAGAGAAATTACCGTATAGACAGGAGGAGAAGCTCACGGCAATCTTTTACTGTCTATGAGGCAATCGGGGGGACATAGAGGCACAAAGTCAAGGTAGAAGCCCATAAATAGAGAGTCCATAAAAGCAACGGGACAAAATATTTCAACAACATTTTTGAGGAATTAGGTGATTCAGATTTGTCATGGCACAGCTACTAGAAGATTTACAACTGTCAGACTGTCGTTCAGTTTGAGCCTGTGCAATAATTGTAATAATATTTCACAGTTACTGTGTTTTTGGATAACTTTGGTGAGCATGAGACTCAGAGTAAGACAGAAAGAGAGCAGAAGTGAGATAACTAGTGGTGTTTACCAGCTTAAGTTTGAGTGTTGCAAACTTTTAAACATTTAGTGTAAGTTAGAAGTGAAAGGTGAATTCTGCAGTGTGTGATTTATGAATAACCATCCCTGACATCAAGAGCATGACAGAACCTGAAACGACGAGAGAGAAAAAATGAAAGCATAAACTAAAATAGCTAAAAATCAAGCAAACAAAAATAACTAAAAAGAGAACAGAAGAAATGGCGAGTCAAAGTAGAGATACAGAAACTGACGGAGATTGAGTTCAGAGAAATGTGTGTGTGTGTGTGTGTGTGTGTGTGTGCTTTTATTCCCACAGGAAATGATGAAACAGCTATTTTTACCTGACTGTCAGGAATGAAGCAGAACGACAGATGAAAACTGATAAAGGCAGTAAACGGGTATGAACCACCAGGCTAAAATTATTTTCTCAACATTTTTTGTCTTTTTTTCATGCTCTCAATACATTCAGATAAAAAAAAATTCAGGACTGCATTTTGTTAAAACATCTTTCCTTTGAGATGCTTTAAAAAGGTTTAATATCATGAAGTTTCAAAATGTTTACACGTTTTTTTTTAAAGTACTATCAAACATGCATAACGTTCAGTTCTCGATCCCTCTAAAAGAGCATTTATGTAATAAGTGTTTAAAGATTAACATTAAAAGTGGATTAAGGGGAAAAATGAAATGTCTTTTTTGGGGGTTGTCTGAAGTTTTCAGTTTTAATAGTTATTTTCCGAATACAATGAACCCTTATTTTAAAAATCAATGACAATTTGATTCCTCCTGAAATGGTTTCCTTAAACATCGTATTTCTACTTTTCCTTTAACATTAACAGAACATGCCAACAAATTATTAAATAATTTATTTTATAACATTTATGACTATAGCGCTGTCAATATTTACTGGATCTATCACTACAACCACAGTGATGTATGATAATTCACAATGTAGATTCAAAACCTTTATACAGAAATGAACGAAAGCCACTGTAAACAATCTCCACCTATTTAAACTTAAAAATGGCAGTGGCTGCCTTAAATTTAAGACATTTCAACTAAATGATATAAAACTGACTAAAAATCGAGCTGAATCTCATGTAACTTATTTTTAACTTATAATAACTTATTTAGTAATATTAAAGCATAAGTTGCATGACTTACAGATCATACAGGTGAAACTCGAAAAATTAGAATATCGTGCAAAAGTTATAATTTTGATGATTATGGCTTACAGCTTATGAAAACCCCAAATTTAAAAGTATAATTATGCATATGTATATAGTTATATACACTAGATATATTAGTTTCACCTTTTAATTAGAGTTACTGAAATACATGAGCTTTTGCACGATATTCTAATTTTTCGAGTTTCACCTGTATAATATTTAATAGGGAATAATAATAAAAATATATTTGCTTCTTTTTATCTCATAATTCTGACTTTTTTTCTCAGAATTGCAAGTTTATAGGCCTATCTCACAATTCAGACTGTATAACTCACAACTAATCATCATGAACCGCATCACTTATTTTGATTAATCCGAGGCTGCTGACATCAGATCCCGCGTGTGTGTCTTCCTCGTCTCGGCTCTCTGCGCAGTGTTTTCATTGGAGAAATCTTTCATGGCGCTGTAGTAAACACATCTTCCAGCTCGGCCCTGATGGTCTGACCTGCGCTTGCAGTCGCACAGCCTCTTGAAAGCAGCGCGAAACTTCTGCGACATGGCGTTGTAGATGATGGGGTTGACGGCGCTGTTGGTGTAAATGCACATGCGACAGAAGAGCAGGAACCAGGTGTTGAGATACGGCGGGTCCATGAGCGAGTTCACCACCACCAGAGTCCGGTACGGCATCCAGAGCACCGCGAACAGAACCACCACCACCGCCAGCATCTGTGTCACCTGAGGAAGAGGACGAGAGAAGAGATTGATTGATTTATTTAATTGGGACAAAGCATGTTAAAGGTGCTATATGTATTTTTTAGCGGCCTCTATCTGTGATGTTTCAGATTGCAACCAATTTTTACAAGAGTGCTCGTGCTCTAGCGCATGCTCAAAGTCCTTTTAGGCAAGTCATGCCACTCGGCCGCCATCTTGGCAACGCCTCCGGGCAGCTATTTCGGACTAACAAGACCAGGCTCCTATCTAAATGAATGGGCAGAGTCAGAACTGCACTTTCACTGGTCACCGGGACATAAAAGCTGCTTGTGTAGAAACAGCAGTAAATTATGATAAAAATCGCTGAAAAAGTTTGATGACTTTGCCTCAAAATAAGGTTTAAAAGGTCTTTTTCCCCACAGGTTATACGTTTACTACGCATGCGCAAGGGTTCTCGTCTCTGCTGTCGCAAACCTCACCTGTCCGCATGCGTCAGTGGAACCAGACGATAGGCTTACATGTTTCCCGGCTTGACTGTTAAAAGCAGACGATTGGCTTTCCAGCGGGAGGGGCGGGGCATGTGCATACAACCGCCATCTTTGGCGTAATGGCTTTTCCCTATCTAGTTGTATTGAGGATTGAGGAAATGGCATGTCTCTATGTAAATTGTCTCTGGCGTGCTCGAACACTAGAGCGATCCCTCATGGTACACGGCCACACTGAGACTTTCAACACACCGGAGAAAGCATCACTTTTATCAGCTTGACGTTGAACTAATGCTCCATGCTCGTACCATGATAACGTTACATTTGTGGTGTTATCTAGCATAAGGCATTTCACTAACTATTCGAGTATCTTTCACAATCAGCAATGCCAACATAGGTGAATGTATAATATGATAACGAAAACGGTTAGTGAACTAGACTGAACAATTTCAGATCGTAGGAAGTAACATTACTGTCCTGAACGTGTCTGGAAATGTGTATTATAAACAATATGATAGTAGTGGGATGAGTGACGTTAGACAGTAGATCTAGTACATAAAATAAAAGTTACATCCTAAAGCACCTACTTTTTGTTATCCTGGAACAGTCTTTTGTATTCATTTCATGTCTCATATACGTTGTAGTTTACCTTGCTATTTCATTACAGTTTAACATTATTTCAGCATATCTGAAAACTTGTAATTTGTCACAATAAAATTAGCGGAGGTCTCTCCATAATTCAAACGCTCTGCCGATGTTGATCCGTGTTTTCGTCCTGAGTCGATCCGATTCACGTTTGGCCTGACGAGCTTCAGCAGATACATTTTTGTTTTGTTTTGTTTTGTATATTTGTGTGGAGTTTGTGTTGGAGTGTGTGTTGTGCTGGAGTGTGTGTTGTGCTGGAGTGTGTGTTGTGCTGGAGTGTGTGTTGTGTTGGAGTGTGTGTTGTGCTGGAGGCAGGTCGTGTTTGGTGTTATTAGACTCATGTCGTCAGCTGCAGTGCCGTCGCATAGACTGTATATAAAGGAGAGAGGCTCGGGAGCGCGCATGCACGTCACATCCGATGGATTTCGCAGAAAATCCGACCCGGAGACTTCACATAGAAATAGGAATACTGGCCTTCAGAGGAAATAGCAAAACCCGACAAGTGGATCATTGTAATGTGTGATTACAACCCATTCACACACAGGCAATAAAAAAAGGATTCATTTTAGAAGAAAAGTTTCATATAGCACCTTTAATGAACATTAGGATGACATACAAAATGTAAGTCTGATTATTGCAACATTGCTAATTTGCATCATACACTCTCAGAAAAAAAGGTAGGGTACAAAAGCTGTCACAGGGACAGTACCCTTCAAAAGGGTTCTAATATGGACCATTTAGGTACTAATATGCAGACTTTTGGTACCAATATGTACCTTTGAGGGACTAATATGCACTCTTTATGTACCTTTTGAAAAGGTTCCGCCACAGTGACAGCTTTTGTACCTTTTTTCTGAGAGTCAGAATAATAGAGGTCACCTGAAGGTCACTGTGCTGTTTTCAGTTTAAGACATTTGTATTAAATAAATAAATTAACAGATAATAAATGCATCATTTTTCCATTGTTTATATTTTCTATAAATTTCATAGACATGAAAATAAATATATAAATAAATGTTTTCTTTATATTTTCTAGACATAATTTAATAATTTATATATATGAAATGTATTATGTTATTTATTGGCATTTATTGTCTATTTATATCAAATAAATTATATAGACATGAAAATAAATATATAAATATTAATAAGTATGTTTTTTTTCTTTATATTATCTGTATATTATGTCAATTTAAATCAAATAAATTGCATAGGCATGAAAATAAATCAACATTAAAATAACTAATGATATGTTGTTTAACTTAAAGTAAGTCTTTGTGCAATGTAATACTATTGTAAAAATAAATATTTAAATATTAATACATGTTTTCGTTATATTTTCTGTTTATTATATCAATACATTTCAGATAGGTAGTATAATATATTATACTATATATTATATTATATATTATTATTTTTTCTTTATATTTTCTATTTAATATGTCAGTTTAAATCAAATAAATTACATAGACATGAAAATAAATATAAACTATTTTCTTTCTTAATATCTTTATATGTTCTATAATAGACATACATTGATACACACACACACACACACACACACATACTGTAAAATACTATGTGTTTATGCTGCCTTAAGATTCTAAGTTTCAACTTGGATTTTTGAGTCATCACAACAAAAAAACAAAATTTTAAGTTGTGATAACTAATTAAAACAATCATTATTTGTTATAGTCTTTCCTTCTTTCTTTCTTTTTTTCTTTTTCTTTCTTTTCTTCTTTCCATCTTTCTTTCTTTCTTTCTTTCCTTCTTTCAATCTTTCCTTCTTTCTTTCTTTCTTTCCTTCTTTCTTTCTTTCCTTCTTTGCTTCTTTTTCTTCTTTCTTTATTTCCTTCTTTCTTTCTTTCCTTCCTTCTTTCTTTCCTTCTTTCTTTCCTTCTTTCTTTCTTTCTTTCTTTATTTCCTTCTTTCTTTCTTCCCTTCTTTCTTTCTTTCTTTCCTTCTTTCTCTCTTTCTTTCTTTCTTTCTTTCTTTCCTTCTTTCCTTCTTTCTTTCTTTCTTTCTTTCCTTCTTTCTTTCTGTAGAATGGACATGATAGACAGAGACCAAACCTGTTTTCTGGACGTCGCTGCACTGTTAGTTTTACAGGACACCTTCACTGAACTCTTCCGTCGGCTCTGATGGACGGAGAGCCTTTGCTCGGAGAGATTCGACGGCAGCGGATCTCGAAACAAAACCCTGGCGATCAGACCGTACAGAACCGAAGCCACGACGAGAGGAACCACATAAAACAAGGTGAAGTCCAGAAAGTAGATGGGCATATAGAGGTTCCTGGACACCCGATAGCCACAGCGGACCACGACGCCGTTCCCATAAACCGTCTCATTCGTGTCCACCAGGAAAAACCACATGATGCAGTACAGAGACGTGAAGATCCAAACGCAGGCGATGATCTTCTTGGCTCGTGACACGGTGCAGATGAACTGGGCTTTGATGGAATGGCAGATGGCGATGTAGCGCTCGACGGTGAAGGCCGTGATGGAGCAAGACGAGACGTTGATGCCCAGATACTGCAGGAACGTGATGCAAACGCAGCCGGCGTATCCGTAGATCCACGAAGCCACGACCTCGGAGATGTTGGGCAAACCGGCGGCCAGAAGCACGGTCAGATCGGCCACCGCCAGACTCACCAGGTAGCAGTTCGTTGCAGTCATCATGTGCTTGCTACGGATCACCACTAAAACCACCATGGCGTTCCCAGCGATCCCCACGCCGCAGATCAGCAGAGACAGAGAGATGGTGACCACCTGAACCTCCAGCGGGTTCTCCGGCATCGTGGAGTTTCTGTAGAAGTGAGTCGAGGTGCTGTTATCCATCGTGGCAATTCCCATTTCAGCCGTCTCAACTAAATCCTGGAGGAAGTTTGAGAGAAGTGAGATTAAGTGCACACGTCTGAGAAGATATGCATGAAACGTCACTCGAGATGCTGGATGATCCAGTGAGGAAAACGAGGCGACTTCTTCTCTAGAGAGATGCAGCATCTACTGAGAAAACAAGTCCTTTTCTTCTCTCCTCCTCTTTCACTCACTACCAATGAATCCCTCTCCTCTCTCTCTCCTGATTCTTGTCTATAGAGCTTTGTGTTCTTTTTGAAATAGTTCAATAAATGCATATTTTAAGGGGGCCTATTATGCAAAATTCCCTTTTATGAGGTGTTTGAACTCAGATGTGTGTCCACAGTGTGTAAACAACCAGCCTATAATGGTAAAAATCCACCCAGTCATTTTTTTTTTGAGAAATGCTAATGGTCTTGTCCACTTCAATTATGTATGCTAAGCTATGCTAAAAGTGGTACCGCCAGAACCGGAGATCGGTAGCCTGGCACGCCAGACCTACATCAAGATGTTAGGTCTGGGAACTCATCATTGACAGGGCTCAATCTGATGGGCGGGATAAACGGTTGTCTTTCAAATTCTCTCTGCACGCAATTGGATAGCGCTACAACCAATCAGAGCAACGAAGAAGGGGACGTAGTCAGCGGAGCAAGTTGATATTAAACTTTTACCGTATCCAGTCCATAGCTGTCAACATTGAACATTGAAAATAAGGGAGATTTCCAGGAATCCATCCCCAAAATAAGGGATTTTTTTTGTTTTTTACACGACCCACAAACTTTAAAAATAAAACACTAATCATTAAAAGTCTAAAGAGTTTATAACTAGCCTATGTGTGAGAGAGACAGTGTGTGTGTGTGTGTGTGTGTGTGTGTGTGTGTGTGTGTGTGTGTGTGTGTGTGTGTGTGTGTGTGTGTGTGTGTGAGAGAGAGAGAGAAAGAGTCATTAAACATTTTTTTGTCATTAAAAAAATAATATCATAGAGAATGTTTAAATACTAATATCAGCTTACGAGGGAAACGGAGGCGGAGTAGTGGTGCTTCGGAGTGCTGGAGATGATTCGGAGGTCCTTTACCGATCAGAGCGCGCGCTGACACGGAGTAAATAAAGCCTTTATACTCGACGCGTCCGCACGAGTGCGGCAAAAATGACAAGTTGATCGTTTCGCCACAGCTTTTTTGTAACAGCGCGCGCGGCGCCGCATCCGAGGATGAATGACTTCAAACCGAATATGTCCGAGCTTGCTCTGACCGTCGCAACTCTGCCGTCATTATGTTAAGCCCGCCCGCCAACTCTATACACGATGTGATTGGCCCGGCAAGGTTTGGGGTTTTCCAGCTAAACCGTCTATGGAGAGTTGCTAGACCACACTTTGCGGCGAAATGATTTTTGCTGCCGCTAGGGTGCGTCTAGATTTCTAGGCTAGGAGATCGGCTGAATGGATTCAAAAACGGTAAAACTCAACAGTTTAACTCTGGGGGAGTTGTAAAATAAGCCTATTTCCAAAAAAAGTGGAGTATCCCTTTAAGACAATATACAGGACAAAAGATACAATTACACGAATGTGTTATTGGGTCAATCATGATGAATTTATTCCCCAATGTTAAATGTTCAATGACAGGAAGATTACCGAGGTAAAGCAGGCAGTCGCCGGCTCTCGAGGCATCAGCTGTCTGGAAAATAAAACCGCTTTCACAAATGTGAACACATCTTCATCTCATGTGAGCGGACATCAAAACAGATTTTTACATAAGTACTATATATATTTCATAATTTACTCACCCTCATGTTGTTCCAAACCTGTGTGACTGTGGACCACAAAAAAAGATATTCCAAAAAATAAAAGAAAATGGAGTCTTCAATATATTTCAAAATATCACACCAGATTGGAATGACATGAAGGTGGGAAAATAATGCCAGAATTGTCATATGTATGTGAACTATCCCTTTAAGGCAGCATTACTCCTTTTTTCTACAATCATAAGTAAACTAGTCAAGAGTTCACAGATCTAATAAAGTCAAGACTCCCTCAGAACTGCAGGGAAAGACTTCAAATGTTAATGATGAATGTTAGTCTGTAGATCCTCTGATATGAGACCCGGATCACAACTCTGATGACCAACTGATCTCCAGTCTGATATAATATAAAACACTGCAGGATAAACCATCTTTAAATGTAGTAGATTCATCCAGCCACAAGAGGGAGCCATTTCACTTCTAGTACTTGAAAAACTCATTTAGCAAAACATGTTACAGCGACCCAAACCAACTAACTTACTGTAAGGGTTTTAAGAATAAAGTATAAGGCTTGTACACAAAAATAACAAATTGCAATGAGGTTAAATCTGACTCTCACCCCTGGTTTCACAGACAAGGCTCAAACTAGTCTCAGACTAAAATGTATGTTTGAGCTGTTTTAACTGAAAGCAACTTGCACTGGTATATCTTAAAATAAGTCAGTGCGATCTTTTTGTCTCAAGATGCACACCAGTAATGTATTTTTCTAAGGCACGTTTATAAATGTCCTAAAATAAATGAACTAAGGTCTAATCCTGGTTTAATCTAAACCCTGTCTGTGAAACCAGGCCTCAGATTATTGTGCTGATGTGGTTGGAATGACTCATGGTTGGCTGGAATGACTCATGGTTGGCTGGTCTTAGCTGGTTTAAGCTGGTTTAAGCTGGTCTTATCTGGTTTAAGCTGGTTTAAGCTGGTCTTATCTGGTTTAAGCTGGTCTTTGCTGGTTTCTCCACTGATTTGAGTGTTTCTGGTACTTTATAATGGCTGAGTTATTAGTGATGTTGAAATCATGCAGGTAGAAATAATGTCTCTCATCACTGAAGCAGAAACAACACACACCTTCATACATTCAAATCAGGGACTGCAGATGCTTTACTGCAAAAAATGCTATTCTTACTTGGTATTTTTGTCTTGTTTCCGGTCAAAATAGCCTATCTAAAAATTGTTAAATCAAGATGCATTTTCTATATAAGAAAAATTACAAGATATTTAGTCTTGTTTCCTGGGAAAAGCCATTTAGCCATTTACAATAAACAGCTAAAGATGTATCTTTTTCACCAACATTTGATTCAATAATACTAACACTTTCTATTCTATATCTATTATGATTATAGGCTGTGCTGGAATAACTGGGACTGGTTACATTTGCATATTGTTGCCGTATGGTTGGTTTGACTGCTTCTATTGCTCTCTTCATTTGTAGTCGCTTTGGATAAAAGCTTCTGCTAAATTATTAAATGTAAATGTCAAATTTCGTGTCAACTAACAATATTAACTTTTCATGAGGAAATATTTCTCATTTAGCCTACCTTTGTTATCATCTTTTTGACAAATGAGGGCGTTAACACAGATCCTGTCAAAACATGAACACATGTCTCTGGTTCAGGACTCATTACCAGGCCCGGCTCCACGGGGGGGCCAGGGTGGGCCTGGCCCACCCAATCAAAAGCTTGGCCCACCCTGGCCCCACACCACATAACAGCCAATCACAAAATTGGTGCGATATTCAATTCAGCTCGAGATACGTTATTTTCTATTTTCTACCCAACCCCCTCCTTTTTCCCAGTTGTTCAGACTGACTATCTTAGATAGTCCTGACTGTAAAGAAGGGCCCAAAACTCCTCTGAAACCAGCCAGCTAAACTAACTGTGATCAGGCTGGAAGACCAGCTCAGATTTGTCTGGTTTTAGCTGTTTTGTTTTCAGCAGGAATACACTTTACTGGATGACTAAAACTACTAGCAGAGAACAGGACAGTAAACATGAATTACGTTGTAAAAATGACACATGATCTAGGACCATTGTAAAGACTGTAGGTCTATCCCTCATAGCTTCATTTGCATCTGCATAAAAAACAATACGTCATCAACACCACTACAGTCGTATACAGTCGACGGTGCTTTCAGTGTTGGCAGGAATGAAAGAGGAAAAAGAAGAATTGAATAAAAAGAAGAAGGCAGGGCCAGCAATGATCTGAAGGAGAGGAACACAAGCTAAATTAAACAAAAGTTGTGTAGTGCTTGTATTGAAACAGACGGGAGTGTTTGTTTACTGATGGATTTTGCATGACTTGGGATAGGGAAATAAACAAACCTGTATTACAGGTTCTCGTAATGAGACGCACCATATATTGAGTGTGTAATGGCATTTTGTGCTTTTGTAACAATCTTTCTTGGAGGATTTTATCAGTAATGTCATATTTTGTTAGATAATGATTTGAATCTTACTGAGGTTAATGTCACAAGGGGACTGAAATGGGGGATACGTGAGGTTGGTCTGGGCTGGTTTCTGCACTGATTTGAGTGTAGTGTACTTTATAATGGCTGATATATTGGTGATGTTGAAGTCATGCTGGTAGAAATCTTTAGCTGGACCAGAAAGACAACCGATGATCTCTTCAACCAACCAGCTTTTATAGCTAGAAAATAGAAAACAAACACACACAAATTCCACAGAGTATTAGCTTTCTCTGGGGTTTAGTTACAGTCTCTGGCGATCTTCTTCCAGCTTAAAGCTCTTCACAATGTTTTGTGACGTGTCTGTCGATGACTCACAGAAGTTTTTGGAAGTTTCCCATCAATGTGTCTCTTCACTAAAGCAGAAACAAGACACAGACACCTCATTCACACATTCAAATCAGGGACTGCGGATGAAATTTTGCTATGTAGTTAATTCTGACTGTTAAATAAACAGTCCCTGTTAAATAAAATTGAAACTTAATTAAACATGCTGATAAACACATTCTGTCCCATACTATTTAAAGTTAATGAAATAGGCCTACCGTTATTGTTACTGTTGACATTCAAAAGTTTTTACTTTTGCTAACGAGAGGTGGATCTGGGTTAGATTTGGTTTTCTGTCGCCTCAGAAACCACGAGAACACTAGCAGGATTAAACGTGATTTGTGTGATGTGCTTGTGTTAAAACAGGCAGGATTGTCTGTTTACTGATATTAAACACTGGTCAGTATGGGTTGCAAT